GATTTCATATATATGTATATATATAGGGGTGCGCGATATGACGATATTTGATCGTGAAGGATTAGAATGTGTAGACCAGGGGCGGTTTTCATCCCAGGCCACATAAGCATTATGTTGGCCCTCAACGGGCCAGCTGTAATTGTAAGACTGTATAAATAGAACGACTCCTTAACATATTAGTCAATAGTTGTCTCTGCATTTGATTATTATTTATTTTATTTAAATATTGTGCATGCTTTTAGCTAAAAATAAAATATATGTAGCATGGCTCCAGACTGACTTTTCCAATGGTAGCACTGGTGTTACCAACTTTTGTTGTTGGTTGCACCAGTTAATGAGTTTGCTGTAGGTTCAGCATTGCCACAGCTATTAATGCACCATGCAGATGATGAATAGTTGTTTTTGCATAACTTAGTTATGTTGCAATGATTTTCAGTGATACAAGACTTGATATTTGTAAAATGTTTTAATCTGAAAATATATTTATTTTGTCACCAGTCCTCTTCTGATATCACTCATTAACTGGACACAGGCTAAACAATTGCTGAACATGCATATGCATTGATGGTACATTTTACTGATGTTCCTTAAAAGCCTCACGTGCTGCTTGGGACTAACCTGGTGGCTGCTCCTCTGACAGGTGAGTGACCAAACATTTGTTGGAAAACAGTGCAACGCGTGTTCTACACAAATTTGCCCAAGTTAAAAAGTTTTTGCAAGCAGAGTTTTTGATGAACGGACTGGCCATCATGTTTATTGTCAAACCTGTGATTGCTGTTAAAATTTGAATCTTGCAGATTGAATGTGGGGCTACTTTTTCTTCCTAACTGACTCAGTCGAGTTCAGCCTGCCTGCACCTGAACACTTTGATCATCAGGTGTGTCGGACCTCTCCCTCTCTCATCTCGCTGTGCGTGTGTGTGTGTTAACATAATTGGCTATATATTGTTTTTTCATTGGAACACGGCAGCAGCGAAACTGACAGTTTTACCCGTCAGGCAGAGAGAGATTGAATCAATGAGGAAGAAATATGACTATTTCCAACCACAATAACTGGAGCAGTGGCTGCCTGTGCCGACGGAAGGAACCAGATCAGCCTGATGATCACCGTTCACTCACACAATGTGACAACGTGAAACTTTAACTCGCACATGCTTAAAAATGGTCACATGCGAGAACATTTTGCTCGCAGTCTGGAGCCCTGTGTAGGCACATTGCTGTGTTGTTATGACATAAATTATAACATAATATTACGTTATATCAGGTAAATCCTATTAATTTATCAGATTAGGAATCACACATCTCTCGCGCGTCTTGAGTTTGACACACATGGTGTTAACGATCTGCCAAAGTGAGGAGATCGTATGGATTGTTTAGGTCACATTCTGTAAATTGCAGTTCTATGCTGATGCACCGACACACCAGATGTATTACGTCGCCTACCTGACCGACCAATCATAGCGAATAACGGGCAGTGATGCAATTTCTTACCTGCCTCCTTGTTTGTGTGTACCGGTAGCTGCATGGAGAGCCATGGCTGGAAGCCAAACGGAGGAGTTGGTCGCAAAAAAAACCTCCACTTCCACTATATAGAATTGTTTTGCTTTTCCCCAAATTGTCTATCCCAGATGTTCATTCCACAAAACTTACACCCGAGAGACTTTGCTGAACATCAGGGCAGTAAACGTCGCTAAAATTGAGGCAGTCAGCTGTGATTTGGACATACTACACCAACACGGAGTCCAATCGGAGATTACGCCGGCAGTTATTCGAGAGAGAAGGAAGTGCAAATGGTACGAACGTAAACAAAAGAGGAGGAGGAGAGCCGGGATCCATGCTAGGCTAAAGGCTAACCCGTCCAGACCAGCAGGACCGTCCTCCTACTATCCAATGTCCACTCCCTCGATAACAAGCTGGACGAGCTCCGTTTGCTGAGAGAAACCTTCAGAGAGTTGAGGGACTGCTGTGTGTTTGCTTTAACAGAATCTTGGCTCCATGATAACATTCAGATGGACTACAGCTGGAGGGGATGACATTTTTCCGAGCAGACAGACAGGCAGCTAGCTCTGGGCAGCATCTGCAGCTTCACCATCGTCACACCATCGTCACACCATCGTGTCTGTCTTTGTGTCCCTGAAGAGTTGCCAGGACCTGGAGAGATTCGCCATGTTCTAGTGATGGTGGCGCGCATGGACGCAGCCGCCCCTTCAGGAGACAGCGAGAGTGTGCTACCCCCTACTGAGGAGAATTAAGAAAACAGTTTAAGTTGGTTCCTTGTATGACATACCTGATAGAGAGCACATGGTGCCTGCATGTTCAGACCTCACTGCCTAAGCCAATGCTTGATGTTGCCTTGGACAAGAATCGTCCAGAAGTGTTTATTCTATGTTTTGTAATATGTAAGATGTCATATATTAGTTATCAGAATTAGACCTTTGTGTCGATAATTTTGGTAACGCAACTTCTCTATCGTTTTTCTGTGTAGTTTTACAAGACTGAAAAGGAAAGCAAATTAATGGAAGAAAAATGCATCAGTTGCTACAGTCGTGAGAAAAGCATGCCTTGTGACTTCCTATGTAAGCTAACTGTCTAGCTTGGACAAAACAGAAGCGTCTAAGTGAGGGCAGTATAGTAAAAGGATGAGTGTGCAGCAGGCATAATCAACAGACAACACGGCAGCGCAGTGAGTCTACAATCGAGGACACAGTACCAGCCAGCTCTTTAGCAGCAGAATGAAGGCGAAGAAGAGCAGCAAGAGGCTAATGCGACCACTGCTGTTTCTGAATGTGCTAAATCTCGTTCAAAGTCAGTGTATTCACAGTCATCAAAACAATCAAGTCAAGCGTCCACAGCCAGTTCTGCAGCGGCAACAGCTCGCGCAAAGGCAGAAGCCGCCCGTGCTCAACTTGCCTATGTAGAAAAAGAAGTTAGCATTACTAGGCAACAGGCTGAGCTTGAAGCAAATTTACATGTTTTAAAAAGCCAGAAAGCTGTTGCCACTGCTACAGCTGAAGCAGCTGCGTATGAAGATGATGAAGCAACCAGTCAAAGTGGTGTGAGTCATGACATGCTACAGCTGTCTTTTAGTCCAATTCAGCGAACCACAGAATATGTACAGAAACATTCAGAGACATTTTTCAGCAACATCCCAGCCAATAGTGTGGCCCAGGGCAGCCTTCATGATTTCCAAGACACTCAGCAAGCCCTCAAAGAGAGCCTTCATCTGAAACGCAGGGCGTGCAAGATATAACAAAGTATATCATTCGTTGGGAAATGTTAAGTGCAGGTCTCCTGAAATTTGATGATCGCCTCAACCTTACAGCCAGGGAAGAACTAGACTTGTTAACAAAATGGCTTGGTTCTGAATCCTCAGAACAAGCTAAGAGGATTCGCGCTGTGCATGTGTTCAACCCAACAGCAGCTTTGAGCCTAGTTTGGCAGCAACGGAAAGAATGTTGTGGGTCACCAGAAGTAGTTGAGGAAGCTTTGTTGCAAAAACTGGAAGATTTTCCCAAATTAACGAACAAAGACAATAACAAACTAAGAGAGCTGGGTGACATTCTGCAAGAAATAGTGTGCTAAAGAAGAAGGATATTTGCCAGGCTTGAGTTGCGGATCAACACAGCATGTAGCAAAAGACTGCAAAGAGACAACTAAATGTATGGAGTGTGGCAGTGAAAACCACATCTCAGCACTACATCCTGGTCCTCCTCCCATTCCAAAAGAAATCAAAGAACTTGAGAGACATGATGGCAGGGAGGAAAAAGAAATTGCGAACACTCCAATTACATCTAAATGCACAGAAATCTGTAGAGATGCTTAATGGTCTGCACTTATATATCGCCTTTTTCTACCTTAGCAGTACCCAAGGCGCTTTACAATGGGTTTCGCATTCACCCATTCACGCACGCATTCACACACCAATGGTGACAGAGCTGACATGCAAGGCGCTAATCTGCCATTGCAACTTGGGGTTCAGTGTCTTGCCACCAACCTTGCCCTCAGTGGACAACCCGCTCTACCACCTGAGCCACAGCCGCGCTGATGCAGACAACCCATGTCCATGCTCAAAAATCAGCCCTGTGATAGTGTATCCTACAGGAAAAAAAGAGGAAGCAAGAAAAATGTATGCAGTGCTTGATGAGCAGAGTAATAAGTCACTGGCCAAATCTGAAATTTTTCGTCTCTTAAACATCACAGCTCTAGCAGATTCGTACACATTGAAAACATGCTCTGGTGTGACAACAAATGTAGGCAGAAGAGGCACAGACTTTATGATTGAGTCACAGGATGGCAAAATACGTGTTAGGATGGTATGTTTGTGTTGTGTTTTTGCTTGTTTCTCTGCCTTGGTGTTTGGTGGGTGTGTTTTTCCTGTTCTCCCTGCAGGCTGGGCGGAGCCGACCGGAATGAGACAATCAAGCGTTGACAGCTGCGGCACATCTTCTCATCAGCAGCCAGCCGTACAAATACGGGCAGCTCACAGACCTTCAGTGCCAGATGATTGTGATTCCTCACCGTGGTACAGTCAGGCTGCTTAGCAGCAACCTCTCGTGAAGCATCAAGCTAAGTCTACTGTTTTCGAGCGTCTCAAGTACATGGTTTTTCTCCTCTGTATCTCCAGCGTCTCGTCTCAGCTCCAGCTCCAGTGTTTCTCCCCACACGCCTGCCGCTTCTTCTCCCTCGAGCACACATCACGGGAACACACAGCCACGAGCACCTTCACCCGACGGATCTCCGTTCGAGCACCTTCACAGGGAAGAACTTCACGGGAAACGGATTTGCACCAGCACCGCTCCTGAAGCACCGCACCTCCACCTACCACCTGGGATCTCCACCACGACACCCCCACTGGATTCCTCCACCAGGACACCCTCACCTTCCCCCTCCCTTGTTAAATAAATCTTTTCCTTTAACTTCTTCTCCTGCCTCCCTTTTTCGTTGGGTCCGCCCGCACAGATTCTGAGACTTGGGCCGTCACAGAATCATCTGGCCCTAACAATGGACCCTGCGAACCCCAGCACCGTCAAGGAGGCCCTGAACGCACAAGGTATTCTGTTGGGAAAACATGACCAGCTTCTTCAAGGACTGATGGACGCCCTACAGAATCTCCCCCACAACGTTCAGGGTATTGCACTAGACGGGATAGCCACCCCCGACCCTGGACCCTCACCCGATGTCTCCGTGAGTACTCCTTCCGAAACCGCTCCCTCTTCTCGTTCCTGTCGTGAACCGAAAGTACCCAGTCCCGAGCCCTACGCCGGAGAGCCCGGTTCTTGTAGCCGATTTTTGTTAAATTGCCAGCTTGTGTTCGATTTACAGCCATTAAGCTATCCTTCTGATAAAGCTAAATTAGCCTTCTGTATAAACTTGTTGCGTGGACAGGCAGCTCAGTGGGCCACCGCCTTGTGGCAAAACAAATCCACCTTGTAAAGCTCTTATGATGCTTTCACCACTGAGCTCCGTCGGATTTTCGATCACTCGGTTAAGGGTCGTGAAGCTCTTAACCGACTGTTTGATCTAAGACAAGGTTCGCAATCAGTGGCTAGTTTTTCCATCTTGTTTCGCATTTTAGCGGCTGAAAGCGGATGGGACGAACCCGCCTTAATGACTTTGTTTTCGCGTAATTTATCAGAGGAATTGAAGGATGAGTTAGCTTCACGGGACACCCCTAGCTCGTTGGAGGCGTTAATTTCATTAGCAATAAGGATTGATAATCGTTTAAGGGAACGCAGAAGAGAGAGAGCGGCTAGGGGTAGGAGACTCACTTTTCCCCCAGCTTTTGTCCCCAAACCTGTATCGACGTCTGCCAGCAGCCCCGACCGGACACCGGCCGCCACGTCAGAGGAGCCCATGCAGTTGGGAAGAACCCGCCTGACTCCAGCGGAACGACAGAGGCAGATGCTAGGTTCTCTGTGCCTATACTGTGGACAAGCCGGTCACTACGCAGCAAGATGCCCAGAGACGTCAAACGGTCGGGCTCATCAGTGACCAAGAGCCCTCTGGTGAGCCAAGTTTTCCCTGTCTCGAGCTCTTCCTCGCGGGGTTCTATGCCCGCTACCCTCTATGTTTCATCTTGAGTTTTTCCAGTGCATGTTATGATTGATTCCGGGGCTGATGATAATTTCATTGACTCTACTTTTGCTCAACAAATTAACGCCCCTGTGATGGTTCAGGATTCTCCCCGTGTGATAAATGCTTTAGATGGAAGAGTATTAGCCAAAGTTTCCCACCGCACTGCACCTCTAACTCATTATTTCAGGAAACCACCGTGAAAACATACAGTTTCTTGTCATCTCTTCTCCGTTGGCCCCAGTGGTGCTGGGACTTCCCTGGTTACAACAGCACAACCCCCAGCTAAACTGGACCTCGTTTACCATCACGGGGTGGAGTACAGCATGTCACGCCCACTGCTTACGATCCGCATCCCCGGAGACAGGATCGGAGACACCCCAATTACCTCCTCCGGATCTCAAGTCCGTCCCTCCCGAGTACCACGACTTGGCCTTGGTTTTCAGCAAGGAGAAAGCTCGTTCTCTCCCACCGCATCACCCCTATGACTGCGCCATGGATCTCCATCCAGGAGCAGCCCTGCCAGCCAGCAGGTTGTACAAATTGTCACTGTCGGAAAAATCATCTATGGAGACCTACATCAACGAGTCGCTGGCGGCTGGGATCATCCGTCCTTCATCCTCCCCGCTGGGAGCAGGTTTTTTCTTTGTAGAGAAAAAAGACAACACTCTGCGCCACTGTATTGATTACCAAGGGCTTAATGACATCACCATTAAAAACTGCACTCCGCTCCCTCTCATAGACCCATCATTTGAACCACTCTGTCATGCTCAAGTATTCACCAAGTTAGATCTTCGCAACGCATACCATTTAGTCCGCATACGTGAGGGAGATGAATGGAAAACTGCTTTTAACACCCCGTTAGGACATTTTGAGTATTTGGTTTTGCCTTTCGGTCTCACAAACGCTCCTGCAGTTTTTCAGGCTATGATGAACGATGTTTTTCGCGATATGATAAATCACTTTGTGTTTATCTATCTTGATGACATCCTCATTTTTTCCCGTGACCATAGAGAACATCAGCAACATGTGCGACTGGTTCTGCAACGGTTATTGGAAAACCAACTCTATGTTAAACCTGAAAAATGTGAGTTCCACGTCCCCTCAGTCAGTTTTCTAGGATACGTCATCGCTCAAGGTCAGCTCCAGCCGGATCCAGCTAAGATCCAGGCAGCAGTGACTGGCCCACTCCAGCTTCCCGAAAAGAGCTACAGCGATTTTTGGGTTTTGCTAATTTCTACAGAAGATTCATCCGAGATTATAGCAAAGTTGTTGTTCCCCTCACGAATCTAACTTCCTCCAAAGTGCCATTTGAATGGACACCAGAAGCCGATGAATCATTCTCTGCTCTAAAAAAACTGTTTACTAGCGCTCCCGTTCTCCGAATCCCGGATCCGGCCCTCCAGTTCGTGGTGGAGGTGGATGCGTCCGACACAGGAGTGGGAGCGGTGCTGTCGCAGCAAAACCCTGACACTCTGAACCTGCATCCTTGTGCTTTCTTTTCTCGTCGTCTAAGCCCCGCTGAAAGGAATTATGATGTTGGCAACCGTGAGTTGCTAGCGGTGATTTTGGCTCTCCAGGAGTGGAGACATTGGCTGGAGGGAACCACGCAGCCTTTCCTTATCTGGACCGACCACAAGAACCTCTCATACCTCCGATCAGCTCGCCGTCTCAACCCCCGCCAAGCCCGGTGGGCCCTGTTCCTCAGTCGTTTCAACTACACCCTTTCCTATCGTCCCGGTTCCCGCAATACGAAACCAGATTCCCTCTCTCGAGCCAACTCAGTTTCCCCCTCATCTCCGGAAGAACCCCAGGAAAGGAGCACCATCATCCCAGCCTCTTGTGTAGTTGGAGCCGCGTCTTGGGAGATTGAGTCCAGGGTGCGGGAGGCCCTCAGGGATCATCCTGACCCTGGGCAGGGGCCTCCAAACCGGCTTTTTGTTCCCCCTGCCGTCCGTTCTCCCGTCCTGCAGTGGGGACACTCCTCAAAGCTGGCGTGCCACCCCGGGGTTCGTCGGACCCTCCTTTTCCTGCGTCAGCGGTTTTGGTGGCTCGAGACACACAGGAGTTTGTGGCCACATGCACCACCTGCGCTCGAGGGAAATCCGTCCACCAACCTCCGGCCGGATTACTGCGGCCGTTGCCTGTTCCAAGCCGCCCCTGGTCACATATAGCGTTGGACTTTGTGACGGGACTTCCCCCCTCGGCAGGTAACACTGTTATATTGACTATTGTTGACCGTTTCTCTAAAGCCGTTCCCTATGTGCCATTACCTAAACTCCCCTCAGCTCTAGAGACAGCTGATCTCCTAACACAGCATGTTTTTAGACTACACGGCATCCCTATTGACATTGTGTCGGACCAAGGACCACAGTTCGCATCACAGGTTTGGTCCGCTTTCTGCAAAGCGGTGGGGGCCACGGCCAGCCTCTCCTCAGGTTATCATCCCCAAACTAACGGTTAGACAGAACGAGCCAACCAGAACCTGGAAGCTGCGCTCCGCTGTGTGGCGGCTCATCATCCGGTCTCCTGGAGTTCCTGTCTGCCGTGGATCGAATATGCACACAACTCTCTCTCCAGCTCTGCGTCAGGTATGTCCCCTTTCATGGCTTGTTACGGTTATCAGCCCCCCCTTTTTCCTGAGCAGGAAGAGGAGGTGGCCGTTCCCTCCGTGGGAGAACACATCCGCAGGATGCGTGATGTGTGGCGGAACGTCAGAGCTGCACTGACGCGCTCAGCAGAGCAAAACAAGAGACTGGCAGATCTTCATCGCTCCCCGGCACCAAAGTATAAGGTCGGTCAAAAGGTTTGGCTTTCGACTCGGGACCTGCCATTACAAACTGAATCTCGCAAGCTTTCTCCCCGCTATGTTGGTTCCTTTGTGATCGATAAGGTCATTAATCCCTCTGTTGTCCGCTTGGTGCTCCCTGCAGCAATGAAGATTCACCCAAATTTCATGTCTCCCTGTTGAAACCAGTGTCTTCCAGTGACCTCAGCCCTCCGGCCGTGCCCCCTCCGCCCCCCCGGCTCATCGATGACCACCCGGCCTACACAGTTTCTCGGATTTTGGACGTTAGGCCGAAGGGCCGGGGTTTTCAATACCTGGTCGATTGGGAGGGGTACGGTCCGGAGGAGCGTACTTGGATCTCCCGCCGTCTGACACCCCCACAAGCCTGGTCGGACGCCGGGAGACGTCCGTTGAGGGGGGGGTACTGTTAGGATGGTATGTTTGTGTTGTGTTTTTGCTTGTTTCTCTGCCTTGGTGTATGGTGGGCGTGTTTTTCCTGTTCTCCCTGCAGGCTGGGCGGAGCCGACCTGAATGAGACAATCAAGCGTTGACAGCTGCAGCACATCAACTCATCAGCAGCCAGCCATACAAATACGGGCAGCTCACAGACCTTCAGCGCCAGATGATTGTGATTCCTCACCGTGGTACAGTCAGGCCGCTTAGCAGCAACCTCTCGTGAAGCATCAAGCTAAGTCTACTGTTTTCGAGCGTCTCAAGTACATGGTTTTTCTCCTCTGTATCTCCAGCGTCTCGTCTCAGCTCCAGCTCCAGTGTTTCTCCCCACACGCCTGCCGCTTCTTCTCCCTCGAGCACACATCACGGGAACACACAGCCACGAGCACCTTCACCCGACGGATCTCCGTTCGAGCACCTTCACAGGGAAGAACTTCACGGGAAACGGATTCGCACCAGCACCGCTCCTGAAGCACCGCACCTCCACCTACCACCTGGGATCTCCACCACGACACCCCCACTGGATTCCTCCACCAGGACACCCTCACCTTCCCCCTCCCTTGTTAAATAAATCTTTTCCTTTAACCTCTTCTCCTGCCTCCCTTTTTCGTTGGGTCCGCCCACACAGATTCTGAGACTCGGGTCGTCACAATACGTCTTCCTCTCCCAAGTTTAATCGAATGTGACATGATTCCAGATGACCACAGAGAAATTCCATCTCCAGACGTGGCATGTCCTCACCCACACTTACAGCATATTGCGGACAACATTCCACCTGTGGACCCGGATGCTCCCATCCTCCTGCTATTAGGTCAGGATATACTGCAATTACACAAGGTGAGAGAGCAGATAAACGGACCTCACAGCGCTCCGTATGCACAGCGCCTAGACTTGGGTTGGGTCATTGTCTGTGAAGCCTGCCTAGGACCAGCTCATAAGTCAACAAGTGTCAGTGTTTTGAGAACGCACGCACTCAATAATGGCCACTCATCTTTTCTTAGCCCATGTCCAAACAAAATCCAGGTAAAGGAAGATTTCAATCACCATCTCATGCCGTCTCTTTTAAGCCATTTCCCAGGTAGTTATTCTGAGGAAGAACATGCTGCGGGGAATGCAGATGGATGAGGATGTGCAATTTTTCTGAGGTGGAATGATGATGACAAGCTCGCACTCTCTATGGATGATCAAGCTTTTCTTAAAATCACCATCACCAGCACCATTGCCATTTCACTCACCCAGGCAGCGCCTTCCAAGCAACAGGGACCAAACTCTGAAGCGTCTTTTTTGCCTACACAAAACGTTGGACAGGAAACCTGACATGAAGAAGCAGTACATTGACTTCATCCAGAAACTGCTGAACAATGACCATGCAGAACCTGCTCCTCCCATTGACAAGAATCAAGAGTACTGGTACTTGCTGTCATTCGGTGACAGCCAAGGGTGAGAAAGAACATGGCTTTGAGGCCAAGCAGTTTGTGGAAAGACGTTTTTATGTTGACGACTGACTAGCTTTAGCACCCACTCATGAAGCAGCCATCGACATCTTGTTAAGAGCTCAAAAGATGTTAGCAGAGTCAAATCTGACAAGATAGCCACAATATGATGGAAGCGTTCCAGCTGGCGAACTAGCCAAAGACTTCAAAGATTTGGACTTCAGAGTGGATGATCTTTCCTTACAGCGCAGCTTAGGAGTTTTATGGAACTTAAAAACAGATAGTTTCTCTTTCCATGTATGCATAGAGGAAAAGCAATACACTCGCAGAGGAGTTTTGGCAACTGTCAACAGTCTGTACGACCCTTTAGGCTTTGTGGCACCTATAACAATGTAAGGAAAAGCCCTGCTCTGTGAACTCACAACTGAGCAAAAAGGTTGGCATGAACCACTTGCTCCAGAAAAGAAAGAGGAATGGAACAACTGGAAAGAATCTTTGAAACTTCTTCAACATCTTCATATACCCAGATGCTATGTTCCAGTCTCAGTTTCCACTGCACAGAAAAAAGAACTGTACATTTTTTCTGACGCATCTACGATGGCAATTGGAACTGTGGCTTACTTATGAGCAATTAGTGATGATGGACAATGTTGTGTGGGATTTATCATGGACAAATCCAAACTAGCTCTTAGGCCTGCTCACACTATTACACATTTAGAGCTATGTGCAGCTGTCCTTGCTTTGGAGGTGTATGACCTGTTGAGAGACGAGCTTGACATAGATGTGGATGCTGTGAAGTTCTGCACTGACAGCAAGATAGTACTGGGGTACATATGTAACAGCACCAGGAGGTCCTACACATATGTTGCCAACCAAGTAACTTGCATCCGGAAGTCTACACATCACCCTGCAGATATTGCAACTAGGCCCACACAACCTGGCTTACTGGACCATCATCCCTAACGTATTCCGATATCAAGCCATCACAATCAGACATCTTTGCTCTGGTAGACCCTGAGGCAGATGCAGAGATGCAACCTGATGTCACATCTCTGCTTACCAAAATCCCAGAGCAATGGTTCAAGTCACACCGTTTTGAAAGATTTTCTCACTGGATGACCCTGTGTCCTACCATGGCATCGCTCATTCATGTTGGAGCATTGTTTAGGAAAAGCGATCACAACAAAAGCCTTGGTTGGAAGTGTTACAGTCAGCCAAACACTGTAAGTGAACTTGATAAAACAAAGTCTTTAATCATTTCTACTTTGCAGCGTGAAGCCTTCAAGGAGGAACAAAAATGTTTCGAGATAAAGTGAGCTTTACTAAAACAAAGTTCACTTGCAAAGCTCAATCCCATTATGGATGATAATGGGTTACGAAGGGTCGGAGGTCGCCTGACACAAGCAAATCTCACAAAGGAGGAGAAGCATTCAGTCATTATACCTCACAACCACCACATTGCAACTCTTTTGGTAAGATACTACCATGAGAAGGTAGCACACCAAGGCTGTCATACCTCTGAAGGAGCAATAAGAGCTGCAGGATTTTGGATTGTTAGGATTAAACGTCTGGTCTCATCTGTGATTTACAAGTGTGTCACCTGTCGAAGGCTAAGAGGATCCCTGCAAATCCAAAAGATGGCTGATTTGCCAACGAACAGACTCTCAACTATGCCACCCTTCATCTGTGTTGGCCTTGATGTGTTTGGCCCATGGAATGTTGTGACACGACGCACAAGGGGAGGCAGTGCAGATAGCAAAAGGTGGGCTTTGCTTTTTACTTGCATGGCAACAAGAGCTGTTCACATAGAGCTTGTTGAATCGATGTCCACATCAAGCTTCATTAATGCACTAAGAAGATCTTTCTCTGTTCATGGACCATCAAGACTTCAGACAGGGGAACCAATTTTATTGGCGCCTGTAAGGACCTGTGCATTGATCACATGGACTCTACACTAAACAACTACCTTCAAGAAAATTCCTGCACATGGCAGTTTAACCCCCCACTTTCATCACACATGGGTGGTTCATGGGAAAGGCTCATTGGTGTAGCAAGATGGATACTGGATGCAATTCTTCTGCAGTCACCTCGCATTCAACTTACACGTGAAGTGTTAAACACCTTAATGGCAGAAGTGATGGCAATTATTCATGCTAGACCTTTGGTGCCACTGTCCACTGATGCAGACATGCCGACTGTCCTTATGGCAGCCATGATTTTGACTCGAAAGTCAAATGCTCTGTCAGCACCCTCTAGCAATTCTGATCCAGCAGAGCTTCACACAAAACAGTGGAAACAGGTCCAGTGTCTTGCAGACACATTTTGGAAGCGATAGAGGGAGAATACCTTGCCTCTCTCCAGAGTCGCAGAAAATGGACTGAGAATAAGCCCAACATCAAGGTTGGAGATGTTGTTTTGCTTAAGGATAACCAAACTCACAGTAATGACTGGCCTGTGAGACTTGTTGTTAAGACAATTCCCAGCAGTGATTACACAATTCGCAAGGCAAGTAAGGAAGTATGGACAGCAAAAGAAGGGACTGTGAAAGTGTTCTTAAGACCCATCTCAGAGATGGTTGTTCTCTTACCAGAGGGACAGTAAATAAAGGACTGTGTGAGGGTTATGGACTTGTTTTTAGATGTGTGTTTTTTGGATTCCTGTTTTGTGTGTTTGGCTGGCGTGTTTTTCACTTTCAGGCTGGGCGGGGCCAATCAGAGGAGGACGCTCTCGCACTGGCACAGCTGCGGCTGTAGAAGCAGGGATGTGTTCTCAATGTTCAGTAGGGGTAGTGGGTGTGTTTGGATGTGTGTGTGTGTGGGCGGAGCTGTTTGTCTGTGGGTGTGTGACTGACCGTGTGATTGCATAACAGGTACCACCTGCACCTACCTGTGAACTTTGTTTGCTTGTTACAGAGAGAGGGAGAGGTAGGGTGCCATATTTTCTGTTGACCACAAAAGCTTTTTTCTACCGCAAAAGCTATCTCCTATCATAGCATATAAGTTCATTATTGCACATGTAATTTTTATTGAAAGGGTGAAAATAAATAGCCTTAACTGCAGTAAAGGCTTCATGTCTCTTCCTTGGGATTAGCGTGTTGGACAGAGCCCTTTTTTCTCCTCTCAGTGACTAATTTAGTCTTGATAGTCACGTTACATTGTCAACAGAAAAGGTTACAGATCCGAAACTTACCTTCTTATGCTTCGCTGGAGTTGTGCACTGGACCACTCAACCACTTTGGATGTTGACTGTGAGTAAATTTGAATGAAAGGAAGGCGCACCACAACCCATGGTATGTGAAACTCAATTCATTAAAACTGTGAAATTTGTGCTTGCCTGGACACAGTTGATGCTGGTTACGGCTGCATACTGGATGCACATGGATGCTGTGGCTGTCGGCTGCCGTTCTTTTCATATTGCTCAAGATTGAATAAACTTGTGAAAAGGTGGATCACTTGTTGTGTGCACATTGAAAATCATGAAAACACACCTAACATGGAGGACAAGTCCACATTTGAAGTAATGCATGACGACATTCAGCATCTCAAGTGTTGGAAGAAGAAAACATGGATCAAAAACAGGGTGTGACGACTCGTGCTTAGTAACAGTGCGGGTGGACCCAAACGAAAAGGGAGACGGGGAGAAGGGTTAAAGGAAACAGGATTTAG